TCTATGTATACAAATAAAGCACAGCCACACCCATTCATTTACATATTGTCTGTGGCTGCTTTTATCAGACAATAGCCGATATGAGTAGTGGCAACAGAGACCCCATGGCCTGCAAAACCTAATATACTTACTGTCTGTCCTTTTACAGAAAACAACTGCAACCATGTTATAGAGTGTTTTCTAGGATATTCTGTTAAATGGAAAAAGGAAGGTGAAGAAATGGTATATGGGAGCGCCTGGCTGGTTCAGTCACTAGAGTGTTTGACTCTTGATCTCAGGATTGTTAAGTGTGAGCCCCATGCTGGGAGTAGAGATTACTTAAAATAAAATCTTTATTTTTTAAACTAAAATATTAAAAAAAGAAATAATATATGGTAAGCTATAAGGAACAAAAGGAGAACATAATCTTACATGCAAAAAACATCTCTGGATATTTTGGAGACAGCCTGTTTTAGAGACAGGCTGAGAGGGTGGGGGCATCATCTCTTCTCTTACATGCTTTTATCTTTTGAGTTTTGAATCATAGTGATTCAAATTGATTTCAATTATATATTCCAGTATTTAAACTCTCTTTAAGACTTCTGTAAAATGTGAGTTCAGCTTCAAAATTAAACAAGGCATAAAAAATAGGTAAGTATATGAGGTGATTAATGTTATTCACTCCATGGGGAAAATCGTTTTACAATGTATTTGTACATCAAATCATCGCATTGTGCACTTTAAATATCTTGCAATTTTGTCACATGTACCTCAATTAAATTTTTTGAATAAATAACATAAGAATAAAAATCATCTAATTTACATATCAAAAAAACAAGGCATCTCTTCATCTGTTGAATTAAAGTATTCAATATTGGTAGGCATACCTGAGATATAGCTGGTGAGGATAACGTTTATAAACAGACTTTCTGGAAACTAATTTAGTGTATATGTGAAGAAGCTTTTAAAAGTGCGTACCCTTTAACTTATAGTTCCATTCTAGGAATCTATCCTAAAAAAATAAGAAGATAATCCAAAGATTTATATAACAAGATGTTCAAATTGTGTAATTTATAATGGGTGACAAAATTATAAATAGCCTATATATTTGAAAACAGTGAATTAGATCAATAAAATATTTAAAATTCATATCATAGAATATTGTCCATTTGTTAAAATGGTACGTTTTAATACCATGGGAATATTACACTATATAATCTTAACTGAAAAAGTAGAAATAATTGCATATGTAATTTAATTCTATCTTTAATATATGTGCATAGAAAAGTGCTAGAATTAAGTATATCAAGATGCTAACAGATTTTTTTTTAATGTTTATTTACTTTTGAGAGAGAGCAAGGGAGGGGCAGGGAGAGAGGGGGACAGAGGATCCAAAGCAGGCTCTGTGCTGAGAGCAGACAGCCAGATGTGGGGCTTGAACTCATGACCTGTGAGATCATGACCTGAGCCGAGGTCGACCACTTAACCAACTGAGCCATCCAGGCGCCCCCAGATGTTAGCTTTTAATGGTAAGTCTATATAATTTTTTTCTTTGCACCTTTCTGAGCTTCTTAGGTGCTATAAAATGAGTATAAATTACTCCTATGATTGGAGGAGGGGTGAGTGATGGGGGCATAGTTACTTTTTAAAAACAAGCATGGAAGGGCCACACCTGCCTTCTTCCTGCCGTAGTAGAGCAGTTTAGTGAATTTCTCTACGATCTGTGCAGGCGTCTCCACGCTGGGGGGAATCTCCCCGGTGAGCAGGTTCGGGGTCCCTGAGCTCAGCACCGGCCAGTCCTCGTCGGTCAGGTTGATGAGGTTGGCCACTGGCGGCTGCCTCTTGTACTTCTCCAGCTTCTTACAGTCTTGCATCAGCAGCTCCGCGATGTCAGATCCCACCATGGACTGCAAGGCAAAGAGGGTCATCCTGAGGGAGAATCCTATTGTCCTCGGGCCGGCAGCCCCTGCTGAAGAAGGAGGGCACCAGAGCACCTGCCGTCTTCATGAGGAGGTCGACTTCCAAACACAAGACAGCCCTTTCTTGGACTATTGTATTTCACACTTCAGCTTCACTTTCTCATGGTGATTTTCTGCCTGTCAGGAGCCACCAAGATTACCAGAAATAGGCCCACTCTTACAGTTGTGGTATGTGGTTGGTACAGTAACCCCAGGCCAGGGAGAAGGGCAGAGAAAAGACCATCTTTAGCAAACTGCGTTGACATCTGAGCAATTTTTTCCCACTTAGGGCCATTTGTTGCTTCTTTAACATTATCTTTTATAATCATGTCATAAGCCGAATCCTCTCTATCCCTGAAAGACTTAAATTTCAATCCGGCCTGCACCTGCTCACCCGTCAGAGTGATAATACTTTACCCCATTCTGTCGACAAAGGAGAACCAACAACTGCCACAGTAGAGCTGAGTCTCTGCTCCTCTGTGTCTCAGATTTTCGGCTCTGAGCTGCTTTCTGCTGGCAAAATGTCATGATGTCCACCTTGTGTACGTCTTCCCTATGGAGAGATTTCAGGGAGCAAAGGGTGAGGGGCAGACTCTTTTGCCGCACAGCACTGCAGGCTCCTTGTACGGAGGGAGGGTGCTAGCAGAGGGTGGGGGGACTGAGATAGAAGCCTGACAACCCAGGGCTGGGGTACTGAGTCCGTAGTTTCCTTGATGAACAGAAAGGGACTTCAGAAATTCTCTCACACACCCTCCCCATTTTACAGATGAGGAAACTGAGGCCCACAGGGTACCTGCCCAGGGTAGCAGGCAAGGGCACAGACTTTGGAGTCAGACCACCTTGCGTTTAAATCTAGCCTGCCACATCTCACCTTATAAAACTACCTCCATATAAAAGGAATTAACAATGTATATTAAGTGCTCAATAAATGGGCAATGTTATTTGCTCCAGGTCATCCAAATAAAATCAATCAAATTGGGACCAGCACCCCCAGTGTCCACACAGCCAGCTCAACGTTCTAGCCCCCATCTGTATACCTGTGTGTAAGAAATAGATTTGACACTCACTTTTACTTGAAGGAACCGTCAAGATACTGTGGGCTTTTCTTGGAGGGGGAAGCTTCAGGATAAGTTTATAGAATAGTGATGATGATACATAAAGGGCTTCCATATGCATTATCTCACTTGCATCTCAAAGCCACCACTTAAAGTAGGCACAGCCAGTGTTACATCATTTCCGAAAGAGAAAACTAAGGCTCAAAGAAGATTAGCTGATCTGTCTGCCCTGAGACCTCTAGTTAGTAGGATGCGTGGGCCAAGGACCCAGCTCCTCTTGACTCCAGCCAGGACTCTCTCCACCAGAGTGCCCTAAATATTTATCAGAAACTTGACTAAGAATTTAAAAGCAGTTCTAGCTCAGTCCTGCAGAGGGCAGACTTGCACACTGTCCAATAACTCAACACAGACTATGCTAGTCCTCTCTAGAAAAAGGCAAGAATTTTTTTTTTTCCACTGTGATCCACTTGTCTATGATTTCCCAGGCTGTGCTCCACTTTTCTGCCAGTACCTGTTAAGTGCAGAAAATGTTAAAACCTACCACGTAGCTCCTGCAAAATAGAACTGTTTTCAGATTTTTAATCTTAATTTTTCTTTCTGCCCTTCAGCTAGCAAATTGTTTGTCAAAATGGCCCAGGCCACATTTGTCTCAATCTTGTTGCACAGAGTATTCTACTCCAAGGGGGATAGACATTTTCTTTTAAGGAAGCCAAGAACAAATCCCCCAAGTGCTGATCTGGGCAGGCAGATTTTGTAAGTTCAAAAGCCCTACTTGGCAGCTCATAAGATAATTTACCTGATCAGGGGTCCTGAGAAAGTCCTCATCTCTTCTTGTTCTTCAGAGTCACTAAGAATAATCTGGAACAAAAAAAATCATATTTGGTGTCCCAGACTATATCCACCCAAAGCCCCTGTCAGTCAAGTCCAATATCAGAACCCATGGCTATGGCCCTAGGCTGTGGCTCAGTGCCTTGTGGAGAACACAGGAGGACAAAAGTGAGTTCTCCAGTTGTCGAAAATGAGCCAATAGCATCTCAGGAAAAACACAAATCTAGCATCACTCCTTTGAGAGAAGATCCCTACCTTTCTTTCACAAAATATACCCCAAACCACGGAATGCCTGATTCAGTTCCCCACAAGGGCAGCCCATTCCTGGAGATGTCCAGACTCAGGTCAGGGAAAGCAGAAGGCAGAATGCCAGCTTTCCGGGACACAGAATCTCGTTTACCTCCATGCTGTGCAGTTCAACAAGGGCCGTCTGTCCATCACTGGGAGAGCTGGGACCCACGCGCACCAGCTGACCTCCTGGCCCAAAGCTCACAGGCACATGAGAGATGTAGAACTTCATGGGTGCCTTGGGACCAGCTGCTGAGACAGCCTCTGACCGACAGACACAGGTGGACACTGTTAGCATTACTGCTGCTGCTTTTCTTTACTTTAGAAGTACACCACCGACATATTTCTCTCCAAATTCCACCTGGGCCAGGATAAGACTCAGGGCAGGTGACATAATTAGAAGAAGCCCAGGCGGGGGCATCTGGGTGGCTCAGTCGGTCCGACTTCAGCTCAGGTCATGATCTCATAGGTCATGAGTTCAAGCCCTGCATAAAGCTGTCTGCTGTCAGCACAGAGCCTGCTTTGGATCCTCTGTCTCCCTCTCTCTCTCTCTCTCTCTCTCTCTGCCCCTCCCTACTCACACTCTCTCTTTCAAAAATGAATAAACATTTACTTAGAAGAAGAAGAAGAAGAGGAAGAAGCAGCCCATGCTACAAGTCAGATTTAAGCCTCTAAGAATATGGCAGAATATAATGTGAGAATCTGCTGGTTTGGTCCAAATGGCAAAACACTAGGCCCAGACTCCCAGCGATGGCGAGATGCTGGGGACTCTGGCTCTCAGAGTCGAATACTCATGACATGTATCCTACATCCAGACAAAGCAACTATGCTTTGTGGCCTGCCCTTGCTTTACCAAACTGACTCTTGCCTTCGCTTTCTTCACCTGTTATACAAAAGTACATCTGGGCGCCTCCCCTCCCAGCCTGATCCTGACGCCTACAAGCCGGGTTCCCTTCCAAGAATCAGCTATGATGCAATCTCCAGTACAAGAGAAAAGGTGAGAAATGGAGCCACAGTGGCCTCTCTGCCCAGGAGAAGCTACACAAGTAAACGGGGCAGCCGCAGTCCACTCTTGGAAGTGCAGGGGAAGGGTGACTTTCCAAGAGGTTGTCATCCAGCCCTCTTCTCACAAGACTCAACCAGTTGCTTAGATCATTGCAGTACCCACCAGCCTGAATTGGACTCCAAGCTGCCGACGCCACGGGATCGTAGGGCTCCGAGTCAGCTCCCATGTACTGACTGAGTTCGTAGGCGCTAGAGCTGAGACCAGACTCATGCTGCCGGAGAAGGCTGGACTCATTGGCCAGTGATGGCTGGAAGTTAAAGATAATAAAAACACACAGGAAGGATCAGAAGCACTTTCAGAGAAATGGTCCTCTCGAGTGTTCCTTCAAAGCAACAAAACTGAAACTTTCAAATAAATACACCGCATGTGGATGTGTTGAAAGGAAAAAAAGTGATCACTTAATTGACAGGTGTTGGCGAAAAAAAATGAATTAAGGCCTAGTGGGAAGAGTGTAGGCTCTGAGGCCACGGGACCTGAATTCAAATCTCAGTTTTGTCGCGATGCCTGGCTGGTTCAGTTGGTAGAGCATAAGACTCCTGATCTTGGGGTTGTGAGTTCAAGCCGCACTCTGCACGTGTCGAGATTACTTAAAAATAAAAAAATAGGGGTGCCTGGGTGGCTCGGTTGGTTAAGCGTCCGACTTCGGCTCAGGTCAAGATCTCGCAGTCCGTGAGTTCGAGCCCCGCGTCGGGCTCTGTGCTGACTGCTCAGAGCCTGGAGCCTGTTTCAGATTCTGTGTCTCCCTCTGTCTCTGACCCTCCCCCGTTCATGCTCTGTCTCTCTCTGTCTCAAAAATAAATAAACGTTAAAAAAATTCTTAAAAAAAAAAAATTAAAAATTAAAAAAAATTAAAAAATAAATCTTCAAATCCCAGTTTTATCGATACCTAGCTGCTGTGACCTTGGACAAATGATTTAGGCTCTCTGATGATACCATGGGCATATATCACATAGTCTGTACCCTGCACTGTTAAGCCTTAGGTATACAGGAGAAAATGTTCTCAAAAATCATACATATCTAATCGTGGAAACAAAATTGATATAAGACTGTCAAAAATCAATAGCTTGTCTCTACAGTATCTTTGCAACTTTTCCAAAAATCTAAAATTATTCTGGGGCGCCTGGGTGGCTCAGTCGGTTAAGCGTCCGACTTTGGCTCAGGTCATGATCTCACGGTCCGTGAGTTCGAGCCCCGCGTCGGGCTCTCTGCTGACAGCTCAGAGCCTGGAGCCTGTTTCAGATTCTGTGTCTCCCTCTCTCTCTGGCCCTCCCCTGTTCATGCTCTGTCTCTCTCTGTCTCAAAAATAAATAAACATTAAAAAAAAAATCTAAAATTATTCTAAAATTAAAAGTTTATTTTTAAAATATATAAGAACGCCATTGTGTGGCCCAGCTGGTATAGGCAGTAAGATTTCAGAAGCGAGCACGGGAAGAGTCAAGAGAGGTTTCAAGCTCTGCTTTTCAGACCGGAATTCGGAGAGTCTAGCAACTCCCCACTTGCTGGGTAAACCAAATTGCCAGTCCACTGGGGTACCGGTGGCAGCCTCTCCTCTTTGCCAGCACCTCAGAGTGACCTGGGTGACATTTCCTGATCCAGCCACACACACACACACACACACACATACACACACACATACACACACACACACACGCGCCAAAGGGTCAGATCAGGGCCCCAGGAAGGCAAGGAAAGGAGGAGGTATGAGTGGAGGCTCCATAGAGAGGGGACGATGTCACCGCTCAGACCTCTGGCCACTGGCCAGCCCCACTCCCAAGGGCCCTGCCCTGCCCCTATTTCATTGTCTGCTATGATGCACTGTCACAGTCCACCAGCCCCCGTGTCCCTTCAGAATACCTCATTCTTCTGGGTTCCCGTTAGCAAACTCTCCGGAAACAGGTCCCCAGGCCTCTCCGGCCTAGTGTTAGAAGCAGGACTGTCTTTATGAGAGTTCCGACTCTTGGATCTACAGAAAATCACAGGAGCAGGTGAGGGGGGTCCTGGGCAAGCCAGCCAGAGTGAGCTGCAGACTTCTGCTGCAGAGCGTGGGCAGTGTCAGGTGGCCTGTGTGCCATAGGGAAGAGCATTGTCCTCCCTCGGCCACCCCAATCTATCAATACCAGAGAAACGGGAGCTCCTGGGTTCCACAGGGCAGTTACTGGAAGTAACCCAAACGCTGTGGAGAAGGGCTGGTCTCTGCAGCCTGACACCCTGCAATGACTCAAAGCAGAGCAGCTGGGTTGGTGAGTTGGTCAGACACGGTCAAGGCACCAGACCGAAGGACACCAGAACAGGTGTTTGTGTAAAATGCTCTTCTCTGCTCACTCCTTCCCAGGGACTATCCCATTCTCCGCGCACAGGAGTGGGCAGAGGAGAAACAGCCCAGCCTCAGGCAGGACCCGATTCTGCAAACTTCGGCCAAGCCGCATCTGTTCTGAGGCCAATAAGGAATCCAGGCTCTCGTGTAGGGTGGACCTCAAGTAACCTCACAGGACTCAGCTGACCCCAAGTTTGGGAGCTGCCTCTCAGAATTAAGACTCCACTGACAGCTGGCCTGGGCCACCCTGGGCTACTCCCACAACCCCGTGGCCAGAGTAGAAGCAGACGGGGGTTCTGGAGACAGAGACGAGCACCCGATTCCATAGACTTGCCTAACACAGTGTGAGTTTGGCTGGATCGTGTTGAGCTGGCCTCTCCTTTCACACTTACAGACTATTCTGGTTTTCGTGATGATGCTCACTGAGGTACTTTTGATCTCGGTGATCTTCCTGCCACATATAAGGACTCTCTCGCCTTGGCACTGCACCCTCAGAGAAAACAAGATCAAGACAGGTCATTTCCCATTCCTAAAAGTTTAGGAAGACAGCAGCGAGCTGTGAGGCTGAGTCACCGGAGCACCAGAGATATAAAAACATGTTTGCCAGATTGAATAAAATTGAGACGTGAGCGCTAACAATGGGAGTCAACAGAACGCTCCTCAGTCCTTCCTGAATCAACCACCTTGGCTCCATACAATTGTATCATCGTGGGGATCATGTGTGTGCTTTTTCAGTTTTGAAACAGATTTCTCTTTGCAGGCAGGTCAGAAGCTGCCATCGACACATACCTAAAGCCTCAGTATTGGCAGGGTATAAATTCCTGTGGGTGCGTATCTGCCACCCTCAAGGTAAATGACGGTCAGACTCATCCCAGCCCAGCCACACACTTGACAACTTCATTGTTAAGAACTGACTTCACTGTTACTTGGTCAGAGACTGTAATCTTGGCTGTAACGAGGAGTGGAGGAAAAAATGCGGACGAAGTACGAACTAGCCATAATACTGGTAACATAATGATAGTTTCAGGGCGATCACTGACACATACAAAGGAAAATGACTCCTTTCTGTCTCTTCCCCTCAAGACATCTAGCAGTAGTGTCTTTGCTGTGGCCTCATCTGGCCAAGGAAGAAGTGGGTGAGGACAGGGGTTCTACCTCAGCCAAGTAGGATGGCCAAGACGAGGCTCTGAGCACGCCCTGTCTACCAGAGCAGCTACACCACCCCAAAGGCTCTTCGAGATTATTCCATACCTCTTTCTTCCTGTAGCTGCTGCGGGGGTCTGTGGTAGTAATAATCTCCATAAGCATATTCTTCCCTCAGGGTTGGAGAATGATAGCTCTGATACGGATCCTCAATGCCTGGCCTAAAATATCACAAAGGTCAGTCATTCAAGGATGAGTGTGGTAAAAAGAGAAACCAATGGAGGACTTGACAAACTAAATAACTTCAGAGGACAAATCTGTGACCTCAGTCTAGAACCCGCTTTAAAATTGCAGTTAATTCTAGATCCTATAAACAGAAGATCCAGAATCAGCAGGAGGAGGGCCTTTATTTCAGAACAAGGCTGGGATTTTTAGAGGAAAATCAAGTGTCTCATTCTCTTTGATTTCCCCTGCTCCTCAAATACATACATCCAACAATACATGATGTTATTTTAGAAAACATAACATCTTGCCCTGAAATTATCTTAGAATACCCCTTCCTGGGGCACCTGGGTGGCTCAGTCAGTTAAGCCTCTGAGTCTTGATTTTTGCTTGGGTCACAACCTCAGTTCCTGAGTTCGAGCCCCATGTCAGGCTCTGTGCTGTCAGTGCGGAGCCTGCTTGGGATTCTCTCTCTCTCCCTCTCTCTCTCCACCCCTCCCCCATGTGTTCTCTCTCTCTCTCTGTCCCTCTATATATCTGTCTCTGTCTCTTTCTCTCTCTCTCTCAAAATAAATAAATATGCTCTAAAAAAAAAAGAATATCCTTTCCTGGGATGACTGTGTAGGTACCCAACACGCCATTGTAGGTCCCATGCATATTACAGATGGAAATGAGATGAAGAAGTCACTTTGGACTCTCTTAAATCTGACTGCTTTCACTGCCTCTGTCCTCAACATACCTTCTTTGAGAAGTCAACAATACAAAACAGATTGAGGAAAGAATGTCACACTGTTAGTCTTTTTATTAACTAATAATTCTTTAGTATTTCATGGAGCAAAGGCTTACAGTAATCGTCATAATTTCAACCCGAAATCTGTAGGCAGGTAAATACCACTCCACCTGGAAAAGCTGAAGTAAAACATACATGACTTCCAATATTCCATAAAATATTAAATCCTATGTTATCAATCAGGATTCACGAACAGGAATGAAGCCCTCGGTCTACCTCATGGGGACCTCTTCATTCTGAACTTGGAGACTACAAGCTTGTACCTGCTTTCTCTCAGGTCAATTTCATTTTTTTTTTAAATGTTCCCATTTACTCATCCCATGGATATTTTTTCTGTATGCCAGTCACACCCTGAGTACTGCTTTAGGCACTGAGTCTCTTCTTGGTGCTGGTGGTGTCAGTGCAAACAACACTGAGAAGTTTTTACAAGGAACTCTAAGACAAACTTTCCATAATCTACCAATATTGCCTTTTGCCGTCCCCGAGTCAAAGGGTCTCATCTCCTATCTTGGATCCACCATTCTTTCTACTTTCTGCCCTGGCCCCAACACCCAGTCACGCTGTGATTGCCTCTTTAAGAAGCCCCACCAGAGAACAAAAAGGAGAGAAGTACTATTTCCAGTTACCTAAATCCAATTTGGGAGGGGAAAGTGTTTGGCGAAGTCAATGTAACAGGGTGGAGAAGGAAAAAGAAGAAAAAGAGGAAGAGTAAAAGGAAAAGGAAGAAGGAAGAGAACGATCTACTGAGAAGCACGTAGGAGAGCTGGGTGAACTCCAAGCGTGAGAGCCATACCTTGAATACAACTGATGGGGATAACCACCTTCATAATAGTCAACTCCCAAAACAGGCTGACGCCTTTCCCCAGGCCTGGATGCATAATGGGGCTGCTGGTGGTCTGTCCTGGGGTCCTGCTGCGGCTGGGGGCTCCCGTGCGTGTCTTGCCACTGATGGTACCTCTCTCCATTGTACCAAGAGCGAGGAACGGGCCGATGGGTTCTATCTCTCTGAAGCCCTCGGTCTGGATCCTTTGATGGTGTTGTGGGCCTCCCCCATGGCTGAGGTGGCCACTGAGGAGCCCAAAATTCCATCCTTGACCCTCAGAATTTCCCTCGTGTTTTTATTCAGTTATGTAATTATTTTCTGTTCCTGCAGACAAAAAAAAAAAAAAAATCATCATTTTAGGCTTATATCCAAACATGATGATTGATTAGGGTTTCTGAATAAAGCATCTACAGTCCTCAAAATCTTTTATCTGAAACAAAACACCTGGGCAGTGATATAGAGATATCTGGGGGAAAATCTCAAGCAGACACACGAAATAAATAACAGGCTAGACAATTATACTGATGTTGCTTTAAAAATTAAAAAGAATATTTGGAGCAACAAGAGGTGTAGGAGGCAGGAGAGACAGAGAACAGTCATAGATAAAGCTCCAAAACATCATCAAAGTATCCCAACTAAATACATGTTTGTTCATTTATCCCCACCAGCGATTATTCATTCAACAATTACCGTGGAGGTCCCCTGCTATCAGAGAAATGAGTGCGCATGGAGACAGGCCAGAGTTTAAATCCTAACTCTGCCACCTATTAGCTAGTTCATTTTTTTCAAGCTTCAGTTTCCTTGAGAAATGGAATGGGGACCATAACGACTCATTTGCAGGGTTACTGTCAGAGTCAGTGACAACTTATGAAAAGTACCCAGCACACTGCCTCGTATATAGTAATTGTTCAATGAAACAAGTAGCTAGTGTTTGATATCAGAGATAACATTAGGGCAGTATGAATGGATGCAGACATTTCCTAAACAAAAAGAAGCTTAAATGGATCTCAAGAGACATCTTTTCTGAATCCTTAAATTAACCTCTTAGAAGAACTGGGCCCTATGATATGGCCCTGCCTGCCCTTCCTCTCAGGGAGACAAGTTTGGGATTGCTTTCATGGCAAGCCAGAAAGCCATGTCTCAGTGATCTTCCTGGCTGGAGACTTTTAAATCTGGAGGTCTCCTAGCATCAAACTAATTTTCCCAACTTATCCTTCAAAATGAGAAATAGCTCTGAAGACATACTGCCTTCCAAGTTCCTCCACCCGTGTCACGGAGAAGAACCTGTATCCAGCTGCCTCCAAAGAGAAAGCACGTGTCAGCCCTTACTGGTGACTTGGGGATTCTCTTATGGCAGGAGGATATATTACCTCAATCAGACCTCATTTTTTCTCTCCTGGGAACTGTTTTAGGTTGAAAGACTTGGATCAAATATGGTTAATTTGCTCCCACTCCTGAAACTCCCAGCCTAATATAAAAAAAAAAAATCATATCGGAACAAAAGGTCAAAGGGTATATGTTGAAATCGAGATATCACTCTGCTTGAATGCCATGGAGCCAGGGTCCACAGCTCTGAGCCAAGAGCTGTAAGCAGAACATACCAGAAGAGCAAGGCACAGAAGTGCCTTCCACCTCAGATCTATCACAGCTCAGAAAAACTCCCACCTTCCTTCCTAAAGTGTCAGCCCCCTCCCTTGAAAACAGTCAGGTGCGATGAAAGCTTTTTCCAAAAAATCCCAGCAAAATCCAAGTGCCCCAACACAGTGAAAGGGCACCTGGGTCCTCCCTGAAGGTTTATAGAACTCAATACTATTTGGACACAAGTAAACTCAACAAGAGGAAAGCCTCTTTTGCCTGTCTTGTCCCCAGATATTTTCACTAGACAGCCCTTCTCCAACCACGAAGGCACAAAACCCAATCTCTTCACTGAAATCACATCATTCTATTATTGAGATATCAACTCCCATAGGTTAGACCTCAGGTTATAATTATGGACACCAAATGAGGGGCGCCTGGGTGGCCCAGTCAGTTGGGCATCTGACTTTGACTCAGGTCATGATCTCACAGTTCGTGGGTTCGAACCCCGCGTCAGGCTCTGTGCTGACAGCTCAGAGCCTGGAGCCTGCTTCGGATTCTATGTCTCCCTCCCTCTCTTTCTGCCCCTCCCCTGCTCACGCTCTCTCTTTCTCAAAAATAAAATAAACATTAAAAAAAAACAAAGGACTTCAAATGAAAGGCACCCAAGATTCTCAAAGTGAAGGCATCACATCTCCAGTGACAAGCCACACTTCCACATTCACATAAGTGACCCTCCTGGCCCCAGCAAGGGTGATATTGACTTTCCCATTCTGACAGTACAGCTGAGCCAAGAGAAAGAAAGCAAGGGAATGAGCATCCCCACACACCTGCTCAGACGGCTTCCCACCTTCCGTCAGCGTGGCTTCCTTCAGCTCTCTCCGGGCCCGCAAGTGTCTCTCTCCTCTTGGAGAATGTCAAAGTCCAGGCGCCACATCTACCAAGACTTACCTGGCCTTCAGACCTACAGCCAGTCAGTTATCTGTTGCAACCACCTGGCCTCCATGGAGCTGATTCACTAGGGCAAAGTACAGCCCAGATACCCCAGCCTGGGACAGGCCTGACTTGGCGTATTTGCTCGGAACCCTGTCGGAGGCTGGTGCTTCTGTTTGCCTGGTCATGGGCTGAGCCAGACTGACTTACATCCAAATCCCAGAGCAAACAAGGAACCGAGAAAGCAGGGAGAGGAAATCCAGAAAGCCTGAGGCCGCCTGGCCTGTGAGAAGAGCACCACCTTTGGGGCATTGACTCATGACGCTGCAACTGTCGGTCCTAATGCTCAACCTCTCGGAGTCTCAGTTTCTTCCTCTCTAAAAGGGAAATAACCATACTTAGCTTGTGGGAGTCACTATGAGGATTAAATGTTAGTAAAGTGGCACCTGATAGAGAAATATATATGCTTTATCAATGAGTATGATCTTTTCCTTTCAAAACACATGAGCTGGGGCACCCGGGTGGCTCAGTCAGTTGAGTGTCGAGTCTTGATTTTGACTCAGGCCACGATCCCAGGGTTGTGGGGTGGAGCCCCACGTTGGGCTCTGTGCTGAGCGTGGAACCCGTTTACGATTCTCTCTCTCTTCCTCTCCCACTCGTGGTCTCTCACTCTCTCTCCAAAATTAAAAAACAAAAGTTTTTTTAATGAACAAAATAAGCTAATTCCACTGGTTGAGGCAGGCAGGCACTCACTGGTGGGTAGTAAACAGCTGGTTTGTCTGGTTTGGGTTTTTCTCATTCATGTTTCTCCCTGTCGGGTTCTGCTTGTGTAATCACTTGTGTTGTCCGATGGAAGGAAAATGTATCGAACTGAAGGCACCGGTCAGTTTTCTATTACAAAAAGAAAACAATTTTTTGTCTTTAAAAAATGCATTTCTTCAGGTAGACACGGAGAAGCTTATGTCCACTTGTGAATTACTATTTTAAAATTCAGCAAATCATCATGTTATACACCTTAAGGTTACATAGTGTTGTATTTCAATTACGTCTCAATAAAGCTGGGGAAAAATTTTTAAAAATTCAGAATTTGTTCTAAAAGCCTCAAATCACTTATTCTTTCTTTCAACAAATACTTACTGGGGCCCTGTTATGTACCAGGACTTGAGACACTTAACTACGAAAGACACAGGCCTTGACTTCAAAAAGCAAGAGCAGGTTAACCTCTCCTGTTGTTAGTCTAGGGAAGACCACCTGGGTGGATCTCATGGTCAGATAAGGCAATCAATGTCCCTAAACTATACGATTTTGTCTCAGACCCTCAGCCGACTCCTAGGGCCTGCCAACGAACTGGGTGTAGAATTCTCTGACCCTGGTGATGGTTTCTTACTCCCACTGGTGAGCTGTTGGCTGTACTGCCATTTTTAACCCTCCTAAAAAGAAATACTAGCGAAGGACATACACATTAACAGCAGAAAGCGGAAGAGGTTTGATTATGACACAGACCCAGGTATCAAATTATGTGTTCCAGCACATCACAATAGCATTCATGAAAATCTGATGTAACTCTTTTGGCTTATGACACGATGGTAGTCCTACCTTTAACACCAGCTACATTACTGGAATGCCAACTCTGGAAGGGACCTTGAGGTTATTTTAGTGACTTCACTTTACTGATAATAAAACTAAGATCCTGAGAAGTGAACTGATTTACCCAAGATCACAAAGCTAACTGGACGCTCGGTCAGGATTACAATGGTCTGTTGGGAGTTCCCTTGCACCAGGCTTCCAAGAGCTGATTCTTAAATATTCAGGAATTGTGTGAGCCAGTAGTTAAACCATTGGTAATATGGAATCCACCCTGGTGGGAAATTTTACACAGAAACCCCCAAATGCTACAAAGCAAGGTGGTTGCTGTTGATTTCAGAGAGCCAGTTTAACAGCATACGGAGAACAGCCCCCAAGTCCTCCTTCCTGATTCAGTGTTCTTCCAACTACAAAATTATCATTCTGTTACTAGCTTTCATTGCACATCTCTGGTTTAAACATCTAGCCCAGTTATTCCAAATGCTCCTTTTGTGACATCCCAAAGCATCTCTAATTATCTCAAGAGTTATTATGAAACTCTTCAAACACTCACCAACCAAAATTAATTTTAATTAGCTTTAATTATTTTATATCGGCATATGGCATATAACAGCTATATGGGTCATAGAATGAAATAGATCATAGAATGAAATAGATCTCACCGCTCCAAAGGTTTGGGATTTATCAATCCCTGCTTTTACCAGCCCCACATATCTACAGTTACTAAGTCTCTCAACCTGGCTGCTCAATTCCTCCTGGTTTCTAACCAGATTTGTCCAGCTTGACAGTACATTAGCATCTCGTCCCCACCAGGAGGTGGGCTAAAATTAGTCCTGACACCCCAAGTCCTTGGCAATGCCCTTGCATCATCCCGTAGTCTTCCTCATGCTGGAACAGCTACAGATTTCACATTATCCCTTCCCCTTCCCCACGTGTCCTGTCCTCATGTCTGATTCCTGCTCTTCATTCCTACTATCCACTGGAATTGGAGCCCGGGCTGCTTGCTAATTTATGTGAATTTCCTTTCCCAGTCTCTGTTCCCCATTCCAAATGCCAGACCACTGATGAAAATCTTGCTTTTCACAGGAATAACTACCCTGGTTTTACATCTAACAAAAGTATCATCACTGCTAATAATGCTATTAATCTCTACCCACCAGATTAGTGCTGATGG